GTACTAAGGATCACAAATTCTTATTTACAGGACCCCTTAACCACTGTCTTGCCTCATATTTCCAAATGAGGTGGCTAGTGTTCTCTTCTGTTTCTCCCTTCTCTGCTCTGTGGCTTAGCCTCTCAAGGTATTTGGTGTATTCAAATTCCTTTGATTGTTTCTTCGATAGGAAAGAATTGACCTATAGAAAACCGCACTGTGAATGGGTCCCTTCAGAGTTAGAAGTCAGGCCATCTGCCTCCAGATTCTGTACTTGCCCTCACCTGGCGTGGGTTTCTCAGCCTGCCCTCACTGATGGTCTCGTGGACACTCCTGGTTCTCCTCATCTGCCCTCCCGTCCTGGCGGCCCCCAGCTTCTAAGACTGCGCCAGCATGGTTCACGACTTATTTGTCACCAGTTCCCTGTTCTCATTCAGGTCGCTCCCGCCTCCGCCTTTCTGCTCTTGCTCTCCTCCCAGTCCTTCACATGGCATCCCTACCCCTGCTTCTACTGAAGGATCCCAGCAAGATTTCCAGGGAGAAAAGTCATGTGACATTGCCTGCTGAGTGGCTACACCAGAAGTTATACTACAAGCTTTATCTGGGCCTTCACTACTGCTCTGTGCTCCCCTTACTCATCTCTTGTAGATTCCCTAACACACTCACTCCAGTGACCCGTCTTGCCCCCTACCTCCTGAGAAACTCTAGGCTGTCCCATGTGAGCTTCCTTCTTCCCCACTTCCAAGTCCTATGTTTGTCTAACTTCACACTTTCTCTTACTAGTTCCATCTCTGAGAATGGAGCATCCATCCTTATTGCCAGACTCATCTCTCCTTCTGAACTCTCCACCCCAACCCTCCTTCTTCCCTCTTCTTTAGGGACCGTTCTTGGTGGATTTTTTCTGGGCACTTGTATTTTCAACGTCTTTGCTCTCAAGCAGTTTTTACCTCTCCTCTGCCTTCCCCCCAGTGCCCCCTCAGGCTGCCAGTCTGTTGTCTTTCTTCCCTCACACACATCACAGACACACTTGGATTGTGGGTTTGGTCTCCTGCCACTGGTCTTATCCCCACCCCAGTCTGTTCAGCATGCTGCAGCTCCTGAGATCTAGAAAATGCAGATCTGACCATGTCTTTCCCATGCCTAAAATACTTCAGCGACTGCCTCAAAATTTTTTTTTTACTTGCCTTTCTTTTTTTTTTTGGTAACAGCTTTGAGATACAATTCAGATATCATACAATTCACCCATTTAAAGTGTACAATTTAGTGATTTTTAGTATATGGACAGAGTTATGCAACCATCACCATAGTTAATTTTAGAGCATTTTCATCACCTCACAGAGAAACCCTGTCCCCTTTAGCCATCACCCTCCCATTCCTCCGTTCCTACCCAGGCCCTGGCACCCACTTCAGCTACTTCCTGTCTCTGTGGATTTGCCTCTTCTGGACATTTCATGTAAGTGGAATCATACAATATGTGGTCTTTCTGTGACAGCTTCTTTTACTTAGTATAGACTTTGCAAGGGTCATCTGATGTTGATAGCACAGTGACTCCTGATGCATTTAGAAGTCCCACGTGATCTGGTGCCTCTCTGCCTCTCCAGGCTGACTTCTCACTGCTCACTACCTTGTACTTCTGCTCTGGCTGAACTAAACCTACACAAATGTGCTGCGTCGTTCCCTTCCTGAAACACCCACCCCATCCCCTCCTTTTTGGCTGGCTAACTCGTGTCCTTCCGGTCTCCTTCATTCCTTGACGCAATGCTGTGTCCTCTGGGAAGTTTGTTCTGATCCTGCGTGCCTTGCCGTGTGCTCCCAGAGCCACCACGCTTCTCTCTCGGCTGAGGCTGTCACTGCCATGGACTTGTCTGTGTCCGCCTCTGGGCCACAGCTCTAGGGAGCGGAGTCAGCATCCACCCCACTGCGGGACACTCAGCCTGCACACAGGGGGCGCTCAGAGTCCCAGCCCTTGGACCTCCTTGAAAGAGACATCTAGTCTGGCCATCTCTTCTTTATGCTCTGGAATCTGCTCACGGCTCCCTGAACTCTCTCGAAGGTCACCAGCCACTTTGTCATTTGTTCTCTTTTTCCTCAGTCTTGCCACAGCATTTGCGACGGTTAAATACCTCCGTGGAGTTCTCTCCTGCTGTTTTGCCTGTGACACGGTATTGCCTTTGTCCTTCTCCCACTTACGCGACATTCTTTAATTCTCTCCTTTGGTTCCTTGTCCTCTAAGCCTGTAAGGATGGGTCTTCCCGCAGCCCAGCATTCAAGCTCTTCTCTCTGCTTTGTCCTCTACTCTTGCAGCTTCATCTGTCACCTGTGTGCAGATAAATGACTCCTAGTCCGTCTGTGTCACTTGGAGCCCTCTCCTGAGTCTTACGTGTGTTTCCAGAGGTACGACTGACATCATCACCTCAGTATACTTCCTGTGCCATACAGCCCACCTGCCCATGGGTCACCGTGCTAATTTGAGCCCTAAGTACTCGAAGTACTTCTGCCCTGGTTGACTGTGAGCACCACCTTCCCCGTCTTCCCACCTCCCCTCTCTCCACACTTAAGTGTTTTCCCTTGGCCCAGTTTGTAAACACATATTGAATACCTACTGCTGCCAGATAATCTTTCTAAAGCGCAGTTTGGGTCACCTTTTTTCTCAGCTCAAGACCTTCAGAATTTTACCTTCCACCCGTCAGATGGCTAGAACCAGAAAGACAAGAAATAACAAGTGTTGGTGAGGATGTGGGGGAAAAAGACCCCTCATGCACTGTTGGTGGGCACGCAGACTGTCGTAGCTGCTGTGGAAACAGTATGGAGGTGCCTCAAAACATTACAAATAGAATCACCATATGATTCAGTAATTCCACTACTGGGTATTTCCCCGGAGAAAACAAAAACACTAATTCGAAAGGACACATGCACCCCTGTGTTTATTGCAGCATTATTTATAATAGCCAATATATGGAAGCATATAGTGGATGAATGGATAAAGATGTGTTGTAGATATATACAGTGGAATATACCTAGCCATAAAAAAGAATGAGATCTTGCCATTTGCAACAACACTGATGGACCTAGAGAGTATTATGCTAAGTGAAATAAGTCAGACAGAGAAAGACAAATACTATATGATTTCAGTTACATGTGGAATCTAAAACACAAATGAACAGACCAAAAGCAGAAACAGACCCATAAATACACAGAATAAACTGGTGGTTGCAGAGGGAAAGGATGGAGGGAAGGCAAAATGGTGAAGGGAAGTGGGAGATTCAGGCTTCTAGTTCTGGAATGAATAAGTCTCAGCAAAAGGAATATTGTCAGTGGTATTGTAATCGCATCATATGGTGATAGGTGGTAGCTACACTTGAGTGAGCATAGCTTAATGCATAAACTTGTTGAATTACTAGGTTGAAACTAATGTTAACATTGTGTGCCAACCCTACTTCAATAAAACAACAACAACAACAACACATCTTAAGTGGAAAAAAACCCGAATAACTTCAGGGTCTACCTTTGCCTACTAAATTGAGTAGGAAATCCTCAGGTGGCATTCCAGACTCCTATAAAAGGGCTTAAGTTGCCTTTTTGACCACTCTTCTTTCATTCCTAATGAATGAAAGGCCAGATCCCCACCCCTTTTGCACACTTAATACCTGCACTGCACAATACAGTGGCCATGTGTCTCCTGTAGCTTTTTAAACTGAAATTAATTCAAATTAAATACAATTTGAAATTTAGTTCCTCGGTCACACTAGCACACTTCACATGCTCAGTAACCACTCATGGCTGGTGTCTGCCTACTGGACAGCACAGATCCATTTCCATCATCGAGGAAAGTTCTTTTGGACAGCGCTGGTCTGAACCTTTTTGTTTCTGTTCCTTCTGGCTACCGTCTCCTCCCTACTCACCATCTCTACCTGTGAACATTTTCTCCCTCTACCAGGGCCACCCACCTCATATCCCCCTCTCCACACAGCCTTTCCTGATCATTCCTTTCTTCATGAGATCCCCCCACTCCTTCCCTTTAGAGTCTGGGTAGTATTTTATCTGTGTTTCCTTTATGAAACCTACCCATTTGTTTTTCACATTGTAGCCACTCGTGTCTTTAACTCATTTCCAGTACTGAACTGGGAGACTCTTTGAGGTAAAGACTACATGAATGATCTTACTCTGAGCATAATACAGAGGGAGTTCAAGAAATCGTTTTTGAACTGATCACCTAGAAAAGAGAATGGTTCTCTTTTAATTTGTGGAATTAGTTAAGCACGGGGACTGTCTGCCCACTCTTTTTTCCTTCCTCCCACAATCACACAGGCCTCTGCTGTGAGACCCAGCAAGAAGTGCAGCCCCTGTCCTTGGCCTTGCCCGTGCAGGTGGCCATGGGCGGCACATTCCATCTTACAGCCAAATTACAGACATCAGTGCCAAGGAGACCAACTGGCTGCAGCGTACAAATAAGATCCTGCGGCCAGGGCAGTAGGTCAGCACGTAGGAGGTGGAATTTCAGGGAAGGAGTCACAGACACACAACTGAGGAGCAGGCAGGGTACAAACGACCCACCTCGGAGAAGTAACCCTAGAAGAAATGACTGGAATGACAGAGGCTAACCAAGTCAGGGAAGTGGTGAGGCTCAGCTTGGAATTAAACTCACAGGATGGGGAGCCACAAGGTGTCTGTTCACAGTTAGACCCTGGAGGAGCTCTCTGGATGGTTTGTCATCTCCTGGCTGTGTGTGTTCATTGTGGCTTTTTGCTTAGCCCAAAGTCACCTACTACGAAGGAGAGGAACTCACCCAAAGCGTCGGCCAGCACATTTTTCAGACACTTTAGGGACAGTCAGGTGCTGGCCTTTTCTGTCTGGTTTAGCTGCCCTTGGGAGCTAAAGAAGATGCTGGTTATCTACTTGTTGACCATGGTGGGGGGGGTGGTGTCCTGAAGCTGAGAGTGTGTGCACGTGCACATGTGTGTTCTCTAGTGGGGCTGAAGCAGAAGCATAAGACTGGGTTTTCAAGCTCTTTGTCTCCCCAGGCTGATTTTGCAGAGGGAGAAGCACTTCCATTATCTGAAAAGAGGGCTTCGACAGCTGACAGACGCCTATGAGGTAAGCATGCTGCCGGGAGCTCAGTCGGATGGTCAGCCAGATGGTCCTTTTTTCTGTTAGAATGTGAAACACTCGTGGGCCGGACCTGCTGCAGAGTCACTCTTTGATCCCCGTGGCTGTGGCAGGAGCCAGGTACGCAGGAGCCGGCGCTCCCACTCCTGAAAGGGCAGAACCAGCTCTCTAGTCATGTCCTCCCCTGGGACGGACAGGGCACCCTACATGGGGTGGGGCTTTCTTGTACCTTAGATTGTGGTGAGGGGTTCACGTGCTTTCTCCTGGCCACTGCTTGTCACCTGGCTAAAAGGCAGTTCCTGTCCATCCTTAATCCTTTGCCCTATAAGCGGATCTAACTCCCATGCTGGCCAAAGGATCAGTATATAAATCCCAGTGAGGACTTCCACAGTTGAACACTGTAAAAATGCCCACATTTAGAGTGCATTTTAAATCACATTCCTCAGAGCCCTGGGCTTCCACAGAGGGGCCTCAGGGAGGGCAGTGGTGGTGGAGGAGAGGGTACGGTGTTGGGAAGGTGTCAGGCAGGGGATGCAAGTGAACAGGAGGGCTCCAGTCTTCCTGCCTCACCTTATACACAGCAGCCCTGCTTTTAATTTGCTTTTTATTTGGGGGTCTGCATTTGATTATTTATAGCAGGGATTGGCCAGCTGAAACGCCTGTAGACCCAAGCAGGTAGCGTAAATAAGAGAAATGGGTGGGAGACGGAGGCACACCCGAGGTGTGCCTCCGTCTGTGCTTTCCCTCTGTTCCAGCAGACCCAGGCTGGCCAGATCTCTCTCTCTCTTGCTTTTTTCAAATTAAGCCAGAAATCCAGATTTCTGTGTGACTCCCCAATGCCTACATGTTGCAACTAATTCTAATTTAAAAAACAAAACACTACAGGGAACAAGGAGAACATGCCTATGGGCTAGACTTGGCTTTGGGGTCAAAATTTTCAACCCTTGACGGGGGTCCTCACTAATTAGGCTGCAGTGAGCCCCGATATGGGTTAATACTGTGCCAGCTAACAGTTGAATGGAGTGCTGCAGCTTGCCATGCCCTTTCTCCCCTGCTTATCTCACTTACTACTTGACGGAGGTCAGTCGCAGGATTAAGTCATCTGCTTGGAAGTGCATGGCGGGATCCACACGCACAGCTCCCCAGGTGGTGGCCTAGCCGCAGCTCGAGACGGTCAGCACATTCATGAAGAGGGCAGCTTGGGCCAATGGAAGGAGCGCTGGAGTGCAAGTCCAGAAACCTGGCTTCTTGTCTCGGCTCTGACATTTGATGGTCTTTGTCGTCTGGAAAAAGTTAATCTCCCTGGATCTCATTTATATACTTTTACTCTGGAAAACGGGAGCAGTACGACTACCTGCCTGCCTGCCTTGGATGCTCTATCCATGTGTATGGGTTGAATTGGGATCCCAAGCACCTCACGCGTCACCTTGGGAAGCCTTTCCCAGCCCCTGAGGCAGAATTAGGCTCTTCATGTGCTCTGTCTGGACTCTGCTCCTGCCCATTGCAGCGCGTATTGTTATTCGGGTACATGCATGCGTGTGTTATGTGCCATCTTGTTCCAGAAAGCCGTAAGGTGACTCGTGTTTAACTGCACCTGTCTAGAGCCTTCTTCCTCTACAGATAAACACACACATTCTATATCCCAGGCATCTCAAGAGTAAGAACTAAATTGTATTCATTATTGTGCCCCCCGTATCTAATACAATGCTTGGCACACACAAGAAGGTACCAAATATTTGTTGAGTCGGTGAATGAGTTAATCCAGGAAATCGCTGTCTGAGAGCCTAGATCTCCTTGGGTCTACGCTGAGAAAACAGCATCACTTAGCTTCCTAGCGTGTGGGTACCCCTCTGCTGAGCCTTCCTTAGGCGCCTATCAGGGGAGGACCTAGTGGGCTCAAGGTGAACTTCTTTGTCCCATTGTCCTTTCTGCACATATGGTCACTTCAGCTGCTGACTGGGGCCACAAAGCAAAGCATCCTTCATTCACTTACTGTTCATAGGGTGCCCTCCTCCCCCTTTCCAGGCATCTGGGGTGAGCCAGATGTCGCCTTGTCAGCAGCATCTTGGGATGATTCTGAATAAGGGGTGTGTTCTCTCCCTGTGCCTTTTGCAGTGTCTGGATGCCAGCCGCCCGTGGCTCTGCTACTGGATCCTCCACAGCTTGGAACTGCTAGATGAACCCGTCCCCCAGATGGTGGCCACAGAGTGAGTCCGGCTTCAGGGAATCTGGGCTGTTCTTTGAAATTCCATTTTGAGTCGGGGGTTCTTTTTGTTTTGTTTCTGTTTTATTGATTTTGAATGAAAAACACATCAGGCTACAAAGATACCCTTGCCCTCCCCTTGACCCCAGTAACTTCCTGAAACTCCTCCACTTTAGAAACCTATTGTGAGCTCGTGGGTAGAACAAGACTTTGAACTCCCAAGAGAAGGATTCTGGTTTCTTCTATGGCCTTTTCTTTCAGCTCTTGCTCTGGTCTTTGAGAAAATTCTTCATCATCAATTCTGAGAGACATGATTTTGCCAGAAAGTACAGTATGAATTTGAATAGCTTCTGTGGGGAAGCATGTGCCAACCCAATGAACAAAAACGCCTTTTCCTTCCCTAAACACCTCCATAGACCTCCCTCCCCACCAATGCCTGGGGGACAGTGTAGCTCTTGATGGTATTAGATGTGTTACACTCTTGGTGTGCAGATACTTTGACGCACAATTTTCTTAAACTTCTGATTTATGAGTAGAGATCTAAGCAAATGAGATTCTCCCCAAACTGCTGGTACAGATGGTGTTCTGGGGATGACTGTGGCACCTCATCCTTAGAAGCTCATCACAATTTATATTTTAAAGCAGAACCTTATCCCCTTATCCTCACTTCAGTCTTAGGGGTACCTGGGGTAGGGAAGGGCAGCCAGGGATCAGATCCGATGCCCCAGTTCTCACGGAGAGAGAGAGAGAGAGAGAGAGAGCACATTCCCTTGGAAACATCTGGAGTTCATCTGCTCCCCTGGTCCTCTGAGGGAGCGGAGTCCAGGAGGGAAGGCCCATGAGCCGGGGTCGTATTCCCGAAGCACACAGCGCCGGCCCCATGAGGATGCTGGAGGCTGGCCTGGGCCCCGCCCCGGTCCCAGTGCCCCTGCCTGGGTCACACTGTCAGGTCAGAAGAACAGAACCACACATTGTCTCATTCATTCTGTCTTAACAATAACCTCTCATTCTTGCCTTCCTGGGCAGGGTGTCTTGTGATGACTGTGGATGGGGAAGATAATAAAGAATTAGGCAGTTAACCCTTGTGATGTGTACGATGCTTTCTGAGGGAGAGGAAAAATATGCATTGTCCTCATTACAACGCTGCTGCAAGCCTAATTGCTTCTAGCTCTGGAAGTAGAATTGGACCCAGTTTCTGCAATAACAGGAATTTAATTGTCAAAGGCCCGTGTGTTTTTGAAATACCAGTTGGGGGTTGTGGAGTGTTTGGAAATTTCTCCCCCACAGATACACTCTCAGGATGTACAGCAGGGGAATGGGAGAGGTGCGCATGAGAGAAGAAAACAAGAAATGGAGGATTTGGGGGCGGGGAAGAGCAGGTGTGCCCGAGGAGGACGTAGCTCCTGAAGAGGACGACCGCGGGTCAGACTTGGGTCGGCTTCGATTTGGGGTTTGTTCTAGGTTGTAGACTTGGAGTGGTATAGGTGAGGCTTTGCTGAGGAAAGGAGTGTCGGAGCGGCTTCCATGGCAACGTCAGACAGGAAGAGGGGACCCCCTTTAAAGGGCTTTTCGCAGTGAACCCCTGGGCCCGACCCCACTGTGCACAGGAGGGATGTGTTAAAGCCTGTTTGCAGCTGAAGTAAAACATGGTGCGGTGCGTACAGTGACATACTGCGCAGCCATTTAAAAATTGCAGTTAACAGATGTCAACTAGACTCGCTGTGATCATTTTGCAATATATACAAATACCGAATGACTGTGTTGTACCCCTGAAACTAATAAAATGCTATGTATCAATTACACTTAAATAAAAATGTATACATAGGAAGTGCCTATTTGTTTGTAAAAATGCATACGGACTCCCTGCCCAGCGGGGAGCCTGCTTCTCCCTCTCCCTCTGCCGCTCCCCCTGCTCATGCTCCCTCCCTCTCTCTCAAATAAATAAATAAAATCTTTAAAAATGCATACATTTATGTAGAAAGGTGTTCATGATTTAAGTGAAAAAAAGGTAGTTAAAAAGATTCAACTTCTGTAGATTAAAAATATAGCCAGTTACATTGCATAGAGAAAACCAGAAGATATGCCCACCTGGTAGTAGTTATCTCTGGATGGTGGGGTATTTGCATGTTTTAAAATGTTATTTATTTTATTGTTTTGTAGTTAAAAGAATGCTTTAGAACTAAAAAGCTAGTTGTTCTAATTTCAAGAACCACGTGATAGTGAATAGAATTTCTGCTTCCCAGCTGCCTTAAAGTCTTGACTTGTGGTTCTTCTGAGCATTGATTTAACGGACTTTCAAAGAATTACTTAGACTTTCCAATAATGAATTTTGTTTTGTGCCTAGCAAACAGTTAATTCTAGGTGCAGGTAATATCTGTTATCAATGAGCTTAGTAGCTTTGACAAATAAGGAAATAAATTATTTTTGGTAAGATACAGAGAAATCTTAATGACTTCTGTAAAAATGTGGGACTTTTTAAAAAGACAATCTGATATAGGATATTGCCTTTTTGTTTATTTTGCACAAAGAAAATGTGGTCATGTTTCTGTTCACTTCTTCATTAAGGTGCAGAATTTAGGTCTGGAGTATTATTATTTTCCTGCCCCTTTCTTTTCCCACTCCGCCACCTAGTGCAGGTGACACACACACACACACACACACACACATGCACGCACGCACGCGCACACACGTTTCTCTTTCCTATTTTGTTCAGTGTTCTGCTTCTATTTGTTTAGGGAACAGTATGGCAGGCTGAGTTCCCTCTAGTGGACAAAATCACTTTTTCAGCTGCTGTGACTGCCTACTGAAGCCAGCAAGGCCAGGTTTTTACTGCTAGTCTCAGACCTTTCAAGAATAGTATATTCATAGGTAGGAATTTAGCTTGCTACTCTTGAGAGACCGTATCCACAAATTTGCACGTGTTTACCCGAAATAAGTTAATATCTTGGAACTGGACTAAGTACATTTGTTGATGATCTAAGCCCGGAAGGAAGCATCCTTCAATGACAGTTCCATCTTTGTTATTGAAAACTACTTGAATGTAGCACACAAAGTAAAGTGAAGTCTTAGGGGGACCACTGCACTGTTAAAGTTAGGTTTTTAGCTTCTGTAAGATCTAAAAATGGTCTTTCACTTAATTGTTTTAGGACTTCTTTGCTTACCAAGTTTTTCCAAGTATTAAATTTCAATTTTCGTGTGTCAGTGTTTTACTATTTCCCTTTCAAAAGGTTATTAGTAGCTGATCTCCTGGGTAGCTCTTTAAATATTTTTCCTTTCAATTTTTAAATATAATTTGTCTGTTTCCTTGCCTTTCTACGAAGATACCTCATCTCGTCCTTTGTGTCCTAGGCATTTTTTGGCCAGGCACTGCTGGGCTAGTGGGTAGAAGTTGGGGTGCTGCCAGATACCCTCCATAGGACAGTTCCCACAACGAACAGCTACGCAGTCCAAAATGTCAGTAGTGCCAAGGTGGAGAAGCCCTGCTCTAAAATGACCAACTTCAGCTTTGACCATAGTTCCAGAACAGCAGCATCCAGCGGATGGCTGCGCTTGGTGAAGTCAAACAACGTGTCAGACTCTCCAGGCAGCGCTGGCCTCCTGGGGTTGGTTGCAGAGCCCACCTGCCTTTCACCCGTTCACTGCCGGACTCCCCTCGGGGAGGACTTTCTCTCCCTCGCGCTAAGCTCAAGTTGTTTTATGGTATGAAATTGGAAAGACTTCGTCCTAGAGGAAGCCCGATGTCCACCCATCCATCTTGTATTGGCCTCCCCTCCCAAGCCATCCTGCTCAAGGATGACTGTTGCTATTTCCAAAGCTGTCATCTTTGTAACTTCTAGGCCGTCAGTCTGTCCACGGTAACCTGTTCTGGTGCTGAAGGTTTTCTTAAATCTGACCTAAATTCTGCTGCTGTGGTTCAGCTTCAGTGTTCATTTCTTTACCAGAAAGTTTCTACAGTTACTCTTTGCATGCTTGAGGTATTTTTCTGGGTAGCTTCCTCACTGTGCTTGCCTATAATATTAAGCCTTTTAATATTTTTAATATTTAGCCAATTTTACAACTCGGACCTAAACCTCCTTTGAGTTAGAAAATGGAGGCTTGAGCCAGATACCATTGTGACCAGCACTGTGTTTATTTTATTTATTTAGTTCGTTAATTTTATTGTATTAAATAATTTATTTTTGAAGATTTTATTGATTTATTTGAGAGAGAGAGGAGTGAGAGAGGAAGAGCACAAGCGGCTTGGAGGGGCAGGTGGTAAGAGAGAAGCAGGCTCCCTACTGAGCAGGGAGCCCAAAGCCGGGCTCGGTCCCAGGACCCGGGGATCATGACCTGAGCTGAAGGCAGACGCTTAACGACTGAGCCACCCAGGCGCCCCCAGCACTGCATTTCTGATGCTCTTAACAAGTGTTCTCATTTTTGTTCACAGCTCACGGGCTCTACCCTCTGGTTCTGTTTCTCCGATATTGCCAGTCCTTTCCCATCGTATATTTATATGCTTTACTCACCCCCACTCCTGCCATCCCTAAGTGTATTATCTGTTACTTGTCTGTGTTTTATTTGTTCTATTCTTATGTGCTTCTGATTTGTTTAATATTCTGGACTTTTAATTCTCACCTTGGAGGTGTTTCTCTGCTCCTTTGGAATTACTTGTTTGTTCACTGTACATGCTTTAGAGTACTTCATCCAAGTTGGTGACAGAGATGCCCAGAATCAACCACTTTAGGTCAGTCCTCAACCATCACCTCAAAGTCCAAGTAAACCCCTTATGAGGCTGACGGTAAATCATTAATACTCTTGCTTTGAACTTGATCTCCTTACAGGTCTCACATACTTTTTAATAGTTGAATGAGAGAGCGTTGACGTTCGATAGAACTTTCCACAATAATGGAAATGTTCTCTATTTTGTGAGAGCCACTGGGGACATGTAGCTATTGAACAGTTGCAGTGTGACTTCTGTGACTGAGGAGCTAAAGTTTACATTAATGTAATTAATTTAGTTTAAAATTTAAATAGCCTCATGTGGCTAGTCGCTACCTATCAGACAGCACAGATCTTTCGCATTGCTACCCAAAATGTGGTTCCCCAGACCAGTGGCATTGCCCTCACCTGGAGTTTGCTGAAAGGGCAGACTCAAGCCCATCTAGCTCTTCCGAATCAGAGTTGCATTTTAACAAGATTCTGAGGTGATTTCATGTGCACTCAAGTTTGAAAGGGACCCATACTTGGCTGTATATTGGAGCCACATGGGAATTTTAAAAAATATGGCCACTTGGGTCCCAGCCTCAGTGATTCTGGTTTCATTGGTATTAGATGTGGCCTGGGTGTTGGGTTTTTAAAAAAACATCCCATAAGTGATTGCTCAGCTAAGACTTGTGATTCTCAAACTTTGTGTGTGTTCACATCATCTGGGAATTTGGTAAAAATATGGAGGCCCAGGCTTGTTTCTTGCATCTCTGTTGTCTCTACTTGCTCTCCAGTGATTGTGATACACACATTTTGGGTTTGAAAATCCCTAATCTTAAAGATAGTTCCCCACTTTGTTGGCAGTTGTCACGTCAGCTAGAATGAAACGCCTTGCTGACTTGAAAGCAAACAGGTCTCCTCGCCCTTTTAGTCATATGACTAAATGAATGATGCACGAGAACTTGTTCTTCACAAAGTCTGCCACTCTTGGTATTTGCACCATGTTTCCTGCTTGTGATTTTTTTTTTTAACCAGTTGGTAAATTTCTGGTCTTTAAGATAAGTTTTTCCTCCCCCTTTTTATAGATAGAAGTCTCATTCACATTTTGGTTTTCAGAATTGCTAAGAACTCTGCTAATGACGGCTCGTAGCTTCATGATCAGTTTGCCAGTTCCTTAAGGTGTGAGTTGGAAAGCCTGTGGAGCAGAATGTTCTGTAAAATGGAAGCGTCTGAGAGTCCAGAAAAGCCCAGTCCTGCTCCCCAGCATAGCCCCATGGCCAGTCAGATGCTGCATGTCAGCTGAGGGAGGTTGGCATGGAGGGATGATTTAAAGGTGTCCGGTACATTCAGATCCCAGCTCTCCAGACATGAGGCTACAGGGTCAGGGGTGTTGTATTTGGCACAATTCTATCTTGGGAGTTGGGAAAGAGAATGGATAGCTAGGTGGCTCTTTTTCTTTTCATTTTTTTTTTTTTTTTTAATGTGCTGTTAAGTTCTGTATCAACTAAAACTTTTGTTTTTTTGATACAGAAAAATGCCAGTGCGGCCAGCCTTTGTCAGGACATGAATTTATTAGCTATTTGTTTCCAGGACATAGGCTATGAATTGATGAAGGTTTGGAAAATATGTTAGGAACAAACTCATTTTCTCAGTGAAAATTAATTGCTATTACAAATATGACACAGTACTGTCTTCCTTCTCTGCTGATCAACTTCCACTTCAATCCTCGTGTTTCCTGCAGTAAAATCAGAGGTGCAGATTGAAGGGAGTGTGTTTTTTGTTGTTGTTTTTTTTTAACCTGTGAAGACTTCAGAGCTCCAGTAGCGAGTCAGCAGTGTTTTCTATTGTTATCCCTGCGAGATAATGGAAGGTCTGAAATCAAAAGCCATCAGATATTATGTGGAAAAGCAATAATAAGCTTGTGCCCTAGAGGAGATGAGCTAGACTCTATGTGGTTTCTCTGTCAGCAGTAGATAAGAAAGAATGAGATCAAAGAGTCTAGGGGAGGAAGGCTGCCTGAGCACCAGGGCAGAGATTTGCAGCTTGTTCTCTTAAACGGAGGCTTGTCCAAATTGGAAGCCTGTGATCCCAGTTGAGTTGTGGGGAAAGAGCTCAATAACCAGGACTTTCCTGGGGCACCCCTTCCTGATGAACTTCAGAGGACCTTGGATAAATAGGGGCTCCCTTGGTTTGACCTCAGACAAGAATGTAACTTCTGGGCAACTTGATGCCATGCTTGGAGGTTTCCCTCAGTGGGGGACCTGGAGCCTCTGTGGATTAGTGTGAAAAATTCTCCAAAAGCCTACAGGCTGGGATGCATTTTTGTGATGTGAGTTAGCAGTGCTGACGTTTGCCACAACTGAGGTGAGTGTGATAGAAGTCCACTTCTCTTTTGTTCTCCTAACCATGGAGGCAGACTTCATTAGAAGCTTCTTTTTTTTTTTAATTAATATGTAATGTATTATTTGTTTCAGGGGTACAGGTCTGTGGTTCATCAGTCTTACACAATTCACAGTGCTCACCATAGCACATACCCTCCCTAATGTCCATCACCCAGCCACCTATCCGTCACCCCCCTGCACTCCAGCAACCCTCAGTTTGTTTCCTGAGATTAAGTCTCTTGTGGTTTGTCTCCTTCTCTGGTTTTGTCTTGTTTCATTTTTCCCTCCCTTCCCCTATGATCCTCTGCCTGTTTCTCAAATTCCACATATCAGTGAGATCATATGATAATTGTCTTTCTCTGATTGACTTATTTCACTTAGCATAATACCCTCTAGTTCCATCCACGTCACTGCAAAATGGCAAGATTTCATTGTTTTGATGGCTGCATAATATTCCATTGTATATATATATACACCACATCTTCTTTATCCATTCATCTGTTGACGGACAGCCAGGCTCTTTCCACAGTTTGGCTATTGTGGACATTGCTGCTACAAACATTGGGGTGCACGTGCCCCTTCGGATCCCTACATTTGTATCTTTGGGGTAAATACCCAGTAGTGCAATTGTAGAAGCTTCTTTCTTGGTGGTAGTAGGAATAAAAGTCAGAAACCCCTGGGGCTTAGGTGACAACAGGAGTAAGAAGACATCTCTTTAAATATCCTGGGTAGGCCTAGGTGGTGGCTCCAGACCAGAGTGGTTAGCATGGGCAAAGGCTGGACACCATCACAACTTAGACAAAACTCAATTTAGGTACCTCAGAGGCAAGGAGAAGGGGCTGGGTCCACAGATCTAGCATGGCGAGCTGAGGGGAAAATATGGGAAAGATTCTGTCAAGAGGCATGAGACTTACTCCCAATTCTATGAAAAGCTGTTGGTCTCTGCCCGGACTTCTCCTTGCTTCACAGCTAGGTGGGTCCTTAAATGCAAAACTCAGAAAGAAGGGCATTCAAAATAGCAGGGTAGAGATGCCCTTTTCAGAGGTTATATTCAATATATGTTCAGTAGTTGGGAGGAGAGGTTTTTGTTTTTTTTTTCTCTTTTGAGGGAAAGTCATGGACTCTGGTGGAATTTGATGTTTTGAAATGAATGCTCTCTGACTTTGGTTTTCCCTTTGGCTGTGTACCTAGCGTGTGTCAGTTCCTGGAGCTGTGTCAAAGTCCAGAAGGTGGCTTTGGAGGGGGTCCTGGCCAGTACCCGCATCTTGCACCCACGTATGCAGCAGTCAATGCGCTCTGCATCATTGGTACTGAGGAGGCCTATGACGTCATTAACAGGTACAGCCAAAGCATCAGTACAGGGCACCCAGAGGGCCCCCGCCTGCTGACACTGCACTGACCATTGCTGTCTCCTGCCTCCCACCTGTTTGTTTCTCAGAGAGAAGCTTCTTCAGTATTTGTACTCACTGAAGCAACCCGATGGCTCTTTTCTCATGCATGTTGGAGGTGAGGTGGATGTGAGGTGAGTAGGGTTTTCCTCAGGCTGCCCCATCAGTAGATTCTAGAGTTTATCTGCCATTGGAGATGCCAAACCCAAGGAACAACATGGAAAATCTGCTGCTTTGTCTCACAGAATGACACGTAGAATGACGTGTCAGGGACACAGTTCATAATCATGGCAAACATGAGACAGATGTCCTCAGGTGTCACTGTCCCTTGACTTCTTCTTTGTAAATGTCAAAATATAAGACAGGAACAAAATCAAATGCTTTTAAGAATCAAAAACTTATTTGGTTGGTAGAAAATGACATACCATAACATACAATAACTGTATAGTGTAATATAATCTTTCATCTCTCTGGGATAGGAAGGGAGAAGGAAGCCCAGTAGCGACCTAGTAAATATTTTCTGAATGAATTTGGTGAAATCATGAGAATGTCTATCACCTGTATGAGAGTTGCTTTAGGAGGTACAAAAACCCTTGGGGGCCAGTAGAGGGCAGGGAAATAGAATTTCAATAACTGATTAGAACCGGTTGGCTCAAAATTATTATTTCACTCTAGAATGATTTAATGTACCTAGCAAGTAGCTCACTCATCTGGCAGGAGATTACTGAAGCATATGGGGAATTCACTGACTAAGTCATTTCTCAAAGGTTGTGGATCATTGAAATTTTATACCAAATTCTTATTATTTAGTCAGAGAAATATGGTTTTTTTGAGCTTTCTATAGCAAAGCCATCTATTACCTTGTTTGTAAATGTGTTTAGCTTCTACACAAGTTGGTTAGTTTTCTGGCTTAACTATTGGTTTGAAAGTAAAGGGGGAGAAAAAAATCATGTAATGTGTCTATTCAAACCAAAAATCTGTTCTCCACTGGAAAAATGGTTTCTTAACACTTCCAACACCAAATGTGTGTTTTTTTTTTCCTCATGTTAAACCATTCTGACACCAACTAACCAGATTTAGCTCAGATTTCACAGGTTAAGGGCTCAGTCCCACAAGATCACCCCCACTTCAGATGCTTCCCCAAGTTACCCACACTTCTCTCTGACTTGGCTACAAATCAGAGGTTCCCATGACCCCTCTTCAGGTTCAGCAATTTGCGAGGAGGGCTCACAGAACTCAGGGAAACACTTTACTTACTGGTTGATTACAAAGGATATTATAAAGGATATAAATGGCCAGCCAGATGAAGAGGTATATAGGGCGAGGTCTGGAAAGGTCCAGAGGGCAGGAACTTCTGTCCCCGTGAAGTTGGGGTATGACACCCTCCAGGCAGTCACCAGGATGCATTCACCAACCTGGAAGCTCCCCAAATCCCGTCATTTAGGGTTTTTATGAAAATTATCTTGTGTAGGCATGATTGATGAAATCGTTGGCCATTGGTGATTAACTTGATCTGCAGCCCCTCAGGGGAGTGGGGCTGAAAGTTCCAACCCTCTAACCATGTGGTCAGTTCCTCTGGCAAGCAGCCCGCCCTCCCGGAGTCACCTCATTAGCATAATGTGGGTGTGCTTCACCAGAGCTTGTTCTGAATAACTAGAGACTCTCTTTTCACCCCTGTCACGTAGGAAATTCCAAGGGTTTTAGGAGCGCTGTACCAGGAATCTGGGAGAAGACCAAATACATATTTTTATTATATCATACTACCCCAGTATCTGGTGTTAAAACATAAAATGAGGCATATTTAAAAAAATGTAAGAGTTTGAGCAAAAATCTATCCAAACTGGCAGCATCTAACCAAGGAGATAGAAAGGTGCTCCAAGGAGCTACACAAAATAGAGACTTTTATAGGCAGAAGGGACCAAGAACAAGGAAGTTATACTAGGCAAACAGGTGGGTTAGTTATTGCGAGGTTACTTTCCTTTAGGGGACAGCAGGGTTCTATCAGGCAGATGACCTAACCAGTGCTGGTCAGGTGCTTCCTGATTAACTGGTTTAAGACTTCATTTCTGGAGAGCTGAAACTATTACTAAGTTTCAGTTTGGTGAGGTGGGGCTTAGCATAAGTGACTCCATTTGGGGCCTGTTGTTTTGTGTTTAACCCTGTAAATGTCAACAAAGCCAATATAACTAATGAAGAAAAGCAGTATTGTGTTGACTCTTCTCAAGGAAAAAGTTAAAAGTTTTTTTCCCCCTCACAGACACTAGATTTTCATTTCTCTTCTACAGATAGTCAGTCCAACTGAATATGCACAACCTCAAAATTTAGCTTTTTAAAACTTCTGACATTATGAGGCAAAGGCAGGTTGCTTTGGCATTGTATCACATACCTTTTTCAGATGTGATTATTCTCTAGCTTATTAGTTCCAGCATGAGTTTTTTCTGTGTTCTTATTTATATCTGCTAGACAAATGCTAGTAAACTTCTCCAGTAAAATCGATCTGTACCACCCAAGAGCCCTGCAGCCACATTGCACCTGTACTCACCTGTATCTCACCTGTAAGCTCCTCTGGTAATGTGCTTCCTTTCAGCCATGCTTCTGATTTGCATAGGATCACAACGTCTCCTTGCTTTGCCTGGTTTCTAGTATCCCAGTTCCATCATTTCTTGCTTGGTATTTAATTGTCCTTTGCCAGAAAGTGTCAGCCAGGACTCCAGAGTGCTTATTGAGTGGGTTTGACCAGGAGAGAAGCAGCAGTGACAGGCGGGGTGTGTGTGTGGGGGGGTGCATTTGGGCATCTGGAGGCTAGCAGGTCTCATGCTGGGTTAGACAGAGTGGCCTCTTGATCTTTCCTGTCTGTCACGATTCCTGATAGTTTCTGGGATGAGCTTGTTCAGGGGTTTATGGCACAGGTGATCAGACCGCAGTGGACTCCTAGCAAGTGCCATCCTTTCTTAGTTCTCAAGAAAGGAGGTTATTTATTACTGACCTCCTAATCTAGGTTATAGAATCTGGAGCGTTCTGTGAGGGTAGGGGGGAGACAGAGACCCAGCATTTGCAGAAATTGAGGTGACAGGGCATAGAGTGTGTTCAGGAAAGCAGTTTTGTGTTGCTAAAGTATAGAGGGCCTTCACAGTAGAAGTGAAGCTGGAAGGACGGGCTGGGACCAGACTGAGGGGTCCTGAGATCTTAAGAAGTGCGAGTTTAAGAGCAGTGGGAAGCCACTGACCAGTTTTAAGTAGGGAATGATGTGATTTGATCTGTATTTTATTAGAACTTCTCCTAGTTGCAGTGAATAGATTGTGGTGTTTTAGTCAAAGTCCTCTGACTTCAGGGCCGGAGGGAGGAAGACCAGGCAGGAGCTTGATCCAGGTAATGGTGACTTGGATTTGGGGGACAGCAGAGAGGATGGAGAGTAGTGAACAAATCTGAGAGATGTGGTGAGCAAATAGAAGGAGAGAGGAAGAAACTGCATGAAAAAGATGTGTTTTGTGTCCCCCCCGCCCCCCCCGGCCCCATGAGATCTAGGACTAGTGGCTTCTGGCCTCACCTCTCAGTTCTTCCGTTTGTGAGAGGGAAACTACATGGTTGGCCGCCTCCCTACCTCAGAAGTTACGTTAAGGTTCAAGAGCAAATACTGGGGAACCCCTCTGAGAGGCTCAAAATCTGAAAATGAGATCAAACCTCTGAGGTTAGCTTATGGTCAGTGATAATGTTTGGCACGCAAGACTCTTGCATGCTTCTGATGCCTGCTGGAATAACCCAGCATCTGCTGTGCCGTGGCCAGTGTGAGCAGGCTGATAAAAAGGCTGCTGGAGCATAACAACGCTTGCAGCTTCTGCGGAGATTTCTTTGGACTACCTCGTAAGTTTGGCTTTGTAATTATGTCCATATTGAACGACATGGGAACTAGGCCCTCCTCTTTCCTCCCTTTTATATTCCTTAGGAGCCCTTAGAAAAAGGATCTGTAAGCAGAATTAGAACAAACAGTTTTTGTCTTCATCGTAAAATGGAGCTGAGATGCTGGATATTTGAAAAGGGTGTAGAAGGAAAGAAAACGCAGTTTGTAGGTATATTCTGTAATAGAGGGAGAAGCTGAAATAAAATGTGTCCTGAGAAGAATTAGGGCTGGCAGGATGGAATGGCAAGAATTATACCAAATCAAGTAGGATAACGTTAAAAAAAAAAAAAGTTCTCTTTCTTTTTCATTTAAAAGTGTGTGTGTGTGTGTGTGTGTGTGTGTACACGTACTGGTGGGCTGCTGGAAATCAAAGCTCTTTTCTCCCTCTAAAGGCCTAAGGAAAGTGTCTAAGTGGACTCATTGATTCCTGTTCCTCTCTTCTGGACTAAGCAGCCATTAGGGTCTAGTGCTCTGCTTTGGAGTGTTTGTTGCAGAAAAAAATGTATAGTTGACCTTTAATGTGTCCATGCTATAAACAGAAATCCTGGATCTAAAACATTACTGACATCGAATGAATGAGCATATCAGAAATAGCCGAATGACACTGCAGAAGTTAGGGAACCATGATAGGTCTGTGAAAGAAGAGCTAAATTCACTTTGGACATGAATTGATATGGCTGTTATTTCTTCTGATGTAGATTTGACCATGTGGAGGTAGGGAGACTAGAATGTCATGTTCTTTCACTGAAGTCACGCTGTGAGCAACTCTATCCAAACAGAATGTCAAACCTCTCAGTCGGAGACCCAGGAGGACTGGCCGAGTGCCAAGAGGGGATTACAGCTTACCAGGCAGAGAGAGAGCAGTCTGCCTGAGTTCAGTGAACCTTATTTCAGCCCTTCCTTAAAGTTTAACACTACCCACCTCTGTTTCTGTCCTTCCAGAAGTGCATACTGTGCCGCCTCCGTAGCTTCTCTGACCAACATCATCACTCCAGACCTCTTTGAGGGCACTGCCGAATGGATAGCAAGGTGAGAGCTGCCGGGATTTGTCCTGGCCTCTTAGAAAGCAGGCGGTCAAGATTCTGAAAATAAAGAAAATGAAAAAGGAGTGGAAGGGAATATAAAAATTACAAGAGAAGATGGATTGGGGTTGTAGCATTGTGCATTTCAAAAATATTTCAAAAGATTTCTTTTTTTTCCAAACTTTCTTCAATGTTGTATTGTGTAGATTGGCAAGGATCAAAACCTTGCTCCAACAGTACTTGTTGGTATCTAAATGGATTTAACCAGTTTGGAGAGCAACTTGGTAATACCTTAAAGATGCCCTTGCTAATGACCCAGTAACCCCACACCTACAGAAGCTCACACACCTGCATGGGAGAGACAAACATACGACTTGTTTGTAATGGCAAAAACCCAGAAACAGGTTAAATGTTCATAAGCACAAGATGGAGAAGCAAGTCGTGGTATAGTCACATTGTAGTATAAAATAGCAGTTAAAATGAACGAACCAGAGCTGTATGTATCAAGATGGATAAATCTCAAAAACAACACTGAGTTAAAATAAAGGGTGTTAAAACATGCAGATTAGCACATTTACTTAAAATTTGAAAACATGCACAATTCTATATTGTTTATGGAAAGAATCACATGTGGTGGTATAAAAACATGCATGGGAAGAATAAGCACCAAATTCAGGATGGTGGTAACTTCTCGGGGAGAGAAGAGAAAATGAAATCAGGAGATGTCTATCCATCTCCACAGGAGACTTCAGCTGTATCTGTAATGGTTCATTTCTTTAAAATAAAAGAAAGACCCGAAGTGTATATGACTCAATTAAAGCTAGGTGTTAACGTACATGTACGTTCTGTATATTATTTGCTATACTTTCCTAGACGCTTCAAGTATCTTGTGACTTAAAAAAAAGAAAAGGAAAGGTATAGTAGATACCTTTGTACTATTACGGAATGATATCCGAGCTTTATTATTTTGTTTTTTACATTTTTATTCTCACCAAAGTAGTACCTATTACTATGAAAATACAATTTACAGGTAAATCAGATGGTAAACTATGATCATATTTACTTTCCTATATAATTTTTATTTCCCTAGAATTAATCATCACCTCTTTTTTAAAATGTATACATCATGAATTTATTCCCAAATTTTCTGCCAGAGCTATAAAATCACTCTCAAAACAGTCAAACACTTTAGGTAATGTATCAGTTCTTGTGTGTGTGTGTGTATTTTGAGTTCTCCTTCCTGGAGCCCCTGCCCTCCTGCTTCAGTCTGGACAGATTGCTCTCAGCTTGCTGCACTGCAGGCATCCAGAAGCTTCCTTTCAGCATGAAATTCACTTCACTTCTCTCCTTTGTTGAAGCCTCTGCCCTCCTTTTTCTTGGCTTACTTACATGTTTTAATGAAGCACACACTCCACTAGGTCCCAAAAGAGAGCACTTAGGAGGTGAATTTTTAAGATTGTGCATAATAGTTATTCTAGTCTCACATTTGATTGAGATTTTATTTGGTTAGAGATTTCTAAATTGGAAACTGTATAAACTGTATTCCTTTGGCATTTTTTAGCATTCCTCCATTATCTTTTGGCTTCCAGTGTCATTGTGGAAAAGGCTAACAATAATAATAACCAACATTTACTGAAGACCTGGCATGTAATTCTCACTGGTAAGGTAGCTATAGTTTAGAGGTTGAGAGTATAGGCTTTTGAGCTAACCTGCTTGGGTTTGGATCTTTATTATACTTTCTCTGTCTCAGTTAAGAATTCCCATCTTTTTATTCATTACAATACAAGTGTATTTTTTTTCAATCTTCCTGAGGTAAATATATAGTTATAAAATCTGCTTTAAAATTCTTGTGTGGTAATTTCAACATCTGGGTATCTTGGAGTTGGCATGTCACATTTTCCTGATTCTGCATATGTCAAGTAATTTTTGGATTGTATCTTAGACATGGTGGTGTTATATTGTAGAGACTGGATTCTGTTAGATTGCCCTAAAGAGTGTTGATGGCTTGGTTTTAGCAGCAACTCAGTTAGACCCAAAGTGCGGATTGTCGCACGTGCACTGGGCATCGGTTCGGCAATTTGATCAGTTCTTGGGTCACAGGCTGCTTTCAGTTTGCCCAGTGCGTGTGTGCTCCGGAGTCAGGTAGAAACGTCAGTGACGTTTAAACATGGAATTTGGAGTTTTCCTTCTCTGGCTCTCCTCTTTTTGGTATTCCTCCTCCATTTCTGTCAGCCTGGTTCTTCTTACCAGAAAAATGGTGGGCTTTCTATTTGTTTCGGCTGCCCTCCACTGACCTGGCGGACCTGCTGCTTCCACTGCTGGCCGACCACGGCCATCCTCAGGGCTAGCTGGGAAGAAAAAAATAGGGCAGGGGAGGGAGGAGCCTGCCTGCCTGCTGTTGTCTGCTCCAACCGTTAAATCCCCACCAGAACCTGCCTGCCTCTTTTCAGTCTACTGAGACCTCGGGAAAAGTTGTTTCTGTGTATTTTGTCCAGAGTGCATAGCTGGTATTTGCAGGAGGTTTGGTTTGTTAGGCACTTACTAGACATGGAACTCTGACTACCTGGGTTTGAATCCCAGTTTTGTCACTTTTAGTAGCTTTGGACAAGTTATTTCTCTTCTCCATGCCATAGTTTCCTTGGATGTCAGATGGTGGGATATTGAATTTGATGTTAAGCTGAAATGCAAGGAATTTTTTTTTAAAGATTTTATTTGTTTATTTGAGAAAGAGAGATTGAGAGAGAGAGAGAGAATGAGAAGGGGAGGGTCAGAGGGAGAAGCAGACTCCCCGCTGAGCGGGGAGCCTGATGCGGGACTCGATCCCGGGACTCCAGGATCATGACCTGAGTCGAAAGCAGTTGCTTAACCAACTAAGCTACCCAGGCGCCCTGAAATGCAAGGAATTTAAGTGGCCAAAACCTGTTATGGTAACCACTGCCTCCCAGTGCCGTTGTATTCCCAATCCATTGTGTGTGTGTGTTTAAGATTTTATTTATTTGACGGGGAGAGACAGAGCGTGCACAAGCAGGGGGAGCGACAGGCAGAGGGAGAGGGAGAAGCAGGCTCCCCATTGAGCAGGGAGCCCGATGTGGGGCTCGATCCCAGGACCGTGGGATCATGACCTGAGCCGAAGGCAGACGCTTATGTTTTCTCTTTTTCTCTGTCCCACCTTATCCCCCTCCCTAGAAGTTTTTTGGAATCTTTATTCTTGCTGTTTAGAAACTTCATGTTGATGAACCATGATATGGATTTTTTTTTTTTTTAATTTCTTTTAGCACTCAGAAGGTATATTCAATCTGGAATTGCATATACTTTAGTTCCAAGAATCTTCATTATATTATTTCTTTGATAATTTCTTTCCCTCCGTTTTCTGTGTTTGCTGTTTTTATAATCTCCTATAAGTAGGGTTGGTCTTTTAATTTTTCAAATTATTTTGCCTATCCAGACTCTTAATCTTTCTTTTTTTTAAATTTTTTATTGTTATGTTAATCACCATACATTACATCATTAGTTTTTGATGTAGTGTTCCATGATTCATTGTTTGTGGATAACACCCAGTGCTCCATGCAGAACGTGCCCTCCTCAATACCCATCACCAGGCTAACCTATCCTCCCACTCCCTTTCTTATTGTACTTTCTGAGAGATTCCCTTACCTTTTATTTTCTAAACCTTCTGTTGAGTTTTTATTTCTGCAATTCTATTTTAAATTTTCCAGAGCTTATTTTATTCTCATTTATAAAAGAAATACTTTTTTATATACTCTCCTATTCTTGTTTCAGGCATATTTTATTCTTGAAGTATTTTTATCTCATATAATATTTTATCTAAAAAGTTTCCTTCTGCTCCCTATGTTATTTCTCCAACTTATTTTTGTGTGTCTGTTCTGGTCTCTCTCTTTAGTATTAGAGACTGCTGAAATGTCTGGTGTTCGTATTTAGGAGCCAAGTGCTAAAAAGCTGATGGAGAGCTACGTGTGCCAGGATTCAGCCTTTCACCCCATTGGGGTTTTTCCCTTGGGTTCATCAGCTTCCATTGAGGAGGATCTTCCAGATTCCTGGTTGGGGTAGGAGTTGGCAGCCAACTTTGTGAAATACTAGGAGGAAACAGGGTGGGGGGTGTTTGTGTTCCGATTATAGATTCTCATGCAATCCCCTGCTCAGTGTGGTGCCTCCCTCCTGCTCTCAGCTGTGCTGGATATCCTGGAGTTCAGACCCTCTTGATTAAACCCCTGAAACCCCAATCTTCTGCTGGGTACCTGGGGGTCTCATTGATTCTTACATACATTTGCAGCCAGTTAACTTGTTTCCACCTCATGCGGCTTCTCGAGGTGTCCTGTGCCTCCCATAGGTCCTGGTCCTTCACCCTGCTTTCTGTTGCCTCCTGCCCTGGGCTGGAGGGCAGGTCTCTCTAATCTGTTAGGTCCATTACTTATTATCTCTCTCCTTTCCTGGCTTTTGAAATTTTGTTATCTCCTGTCTGTGTTCATATCTTCTCCTATGCTCTTTACCCTTGTGGGTTTATCCCTTTTGAAATTCCTTTCCTTTCCTTTTACTGGGCTCTTGTGCTCAATCTGTTAGATTTAGCTAGAAGACACTCCTGATGAATTTTACTAAATTTACTAATTTACAATGATTAAAATTGCTCCCATGCATATAAAGGGAGGAAAAGCAGAATGTAAGCCATATGTGTTCGCACGTGTGTGTGTGTGTGTGTGTGTGTTTGGGGAGAGAGAGAGAGAGAGAGGCAGAGGTGCAGAAACCGACAGCGGTCACTGCCGGTGACAGGGACTGGGGGCTAGGGTGGGCAGGAGATTTACTTCTCATTATTTGTTCTTTAACAGTATCTGTTTTTTTTAATTCAAAACGGTTTTTGAAAGATAAGTTATGTTAAGAAAAATGCTAAGAGGTCCCCAGCATGTCCCTCACTCATCAGACTCTTCACAACTATTACTACACTACATGCGGCCAAACGTGAGAGAAGGAACATTCGCCGCTGGGGGGTGGGGGGGTGGGGGGCGGGCGCCAGGGTTCTGGGACAGAGGTGCTGAGGAGTCTGTGCAGGGAACAGTAGCCTGTTTTTGACTTGGCACTCTACACTGTGATGTCCCTGGGCCCGGGGACTGCTCTGAAAAAGGCCTGTGAGTTCCCGAGATGCCAGGCCTCTAGGGAGAGGCGCCTGGAAGACGGGCAGGATTACTGCTTCTTTTCACTTCCGTCCGGAAGTTCTGCCAAGTTTTGGAGTAAGCGCTCCTCCCCCTGTGCACCTGTTCTCTAGCTGGGACTGGGATGTGGACACACTTGCAGAGTACGAGCCCGTGTTCATACATGGAGATCACGGGAAGTAAAGTCCTGCACTGTTATAGGAAACTACACTAAGAAAATTTCTTTATTTCACAGATAAAACATTTATTACAGGCAAGCAAAAAGAAGAACATCCAAACCGCTTGGAATCTACGATCAACCACTCTGTTGGTGTATATCTTTCTAGAATTCCAGAAAAATTATATAGTACATTATTACTTTGTAACTTTTTGCATGTGATATATTTGGAACATCTTTAAGTATACTTCATAGCATCGTTTTTAAATGAGTGGTTGTCTATTGTACAATATGCCGTAATTTATATAACTGGTCCCTTACTGTTGAGCTCCTGAGTTGTTTCTAATATTTCACTGTTATAAATGGGAACGGTAAACATTCTTATAATCTGCTATTTGAATACATTTTTGCTTATTTTGTAGGATTAATTCCTAGAAATGACCTTCTATTGCTGGTCCAAAAATCAGGCATGTTTTTATGACTAGAGAAACACTATATATAGTGTAACCCCAAATAATAACAATTATGATAATAAATTAGTAATTTGAATATATAGGAAGTTATTATTTTAAAAATAAGTTTATTTTGGGATGCCGGGGTGGCTCAGTCGGTTAAGTGTCTGCCTTCGGCTCGGGTCCTGGGATTGAGTTCCTCATCAGGCTCCTTGCTCAGCGAGGAGCCTGCTTCTCCCTCTGACTGCCACTTCCCCTGCTCATGCACTCTCTCTATCTCTGACAAATAAATAAAATAAAAAAGTTTATTTTGATAGTAATATAGGTATTTATGTTCATTATAGGAACTTGCTGAAAATACAGAAAAGAGGAAAAATACCAGCAATAGATACAGCATTTAAATACCAGTTGTCATACTATGTATGATTTTATAACTTTTTCCCTAAAAGTAAAGATTTGAGATACTATGTTACATAACTAGACTATTTCTGAGCCTCCCCCCTTTTTTTTGGAGGGACAGGCATTTGCAAAAGTTAATTAGCTGGCATCTTTCCATTCCTAGCTGTGACGGTTCATGTGGTGACCTGAGCAAACTTGTTCTTTGCCCTCCAGGGCGGTTCTGTACTTGCGCCGCACCCCCCCCCCCCCCCCCCCACCGCCACCCGGCCCACTCCAGCTGGCCGCTCGTTGGTTGACACTGACCACTCAGCCTGCTCTTCTTGATCTCCTCCTAGGTGTCAGAATTGGGAAGGTGGAATTGGTGGGGTGCCGGGGATGGAAGCCCACGGCGGCTATACTTTCTGTGGCCTGGCTGCACTGGTCATCCTCAAGAAGGAACGTTCCTTGAACTTGAAGAGCTTATTGGTAAGTGTCTGTTGACCCCTCTTCCTCTCAGGCCCTAGGCCCCTGGCGATGTGACTGCTCAGCCTCACAGGCTTGGGGACAGATCGGCTGTGGGAAGGGCCTAGAGTTCCTGCCCTGAGCCCGTGAACTAAATGACCTGTAATAAAGCTTTTCAACGCAGTTGTTGGGGCGCTTAGCACTGTTCCAAGAAAGCGGGAGGGGTGAACGTCTGCTCTCGGCCTTGGCTCCTTTCTTCCTGTCTTTCCATCTTCCTGCTCTAACCTTTCTGTGGTGTGTTAGGCCAACTCCATAGTCGTCTTGAGTCCCTCACACATCTGGCATGAGCCAGAGTACTTTGCTCATACTTCAAGACTGTAGCTTCAATCTCTTAAATTTGTGTGTCTTAGAACTAATCTCCTAAGAGAAAACGTCGTGAGAAGGGCTCTCAGGCCTTTTGAAGCCAAGCTTTTGTTACTGACTGCAATATGTGAACATGTAGTAACTACATTTAAATGAGCTGGGCAGAGCAGGGTGGCTGCATTGAGCAGGTAGCCCTGGCATGTGTGTCTGGACTCTAGCTAGGCTCCTGACAAATATTGAGAGGAATTCAGGAAGCAGTCAGCTTCAGGGAGTCACTAGATTGTACTGAAATTATCAGAGGCCTAGTGTACAAACACACACACACCCAGTGCCACCATCTTCAGGGAAGCATTTACTCCCAACCATGACCTCAAAGCAAACCAGCTGCAACTGACATTCACCTCCTCTCCCTAAGTTCAGATGTCAGCCTCTCATCATAGGAACTGTCGTGAGACCCATCATGAGCTTGCAAGAAAGTTTCTGGTATACTCTGTAGATACACGACCAGCAGTATTTTGTCCTCATCTTTAGGAAGCGTCCTATAGTATACTTTCCTTGAAGGTTCATGCTGAAATAGCCAACTTTGTGCACTGGCCTGGAGTTTGTTAGACATTTAAAAGTCTGATCACCAATAAGGCATGAAATATGAAAGTCCCATTTCCCAGGCAGAAATAAGGAATATAATTAGCAGAAGCCTCAGTTACAATGGCAGTATTCTAGATTGGAGCCCTGTCTCTACGACTTCCTAACCATGTGACCTTAGGAAATTTGTCTCTTTTAGCTTCAATTTTTTTCTCCTCTATAAGGCAGAGATAACAGTTTTTTGAAGCTTAAAGGAGAGATTAGCAGTTCGGACTCTGAAAGTTAAAGGAGAAAAAAAATCTATAAACCAGCCTGGCATATTGTAGGTGCTCACTAAATGCCAGTGTCCTTCTCACCCAAACTACTCTCTCCCTTCTATTTACCCGGGAGACCTAGGACCCATCCCGGAAGGATTTTATGAATTCATATAGCCAAGGGAAACAGAATAAACCCATGGGCTTAGGCATTGGAAAAAATTATTTAGTCTGACTTAAAAACCATTAGTCTGGGGAAAAAAAAAAAACAACCCTTAGTCTGTAGGGTAAATAAAAATGAAGAATGGACTCCCCACCGTAGTACCTGTTTTCTCTTTCCTTGAGTGATGCTTCACCTACTTTCATTAAATGGCATCATCCCTAAAGCACTGGCTCATTGAAACCTCACCGGGGACATATCAGTACCTGCACCTGCAGTCTAGTTTTTATGTCTTGTCTTCTGAGAATTTGGGACTTGACTCTTATGGGTGAGCGTTGCCTTGAACAAGGATATAATCTAAACTCCACAACTGCTAACTAAAAGCAGGCTGGACACCACCACCCCCCATTCTAAAAAGGGTCCTTGGTGGCTCCTTTCGGGAACTCAGTCTAGCAAGAACCTAGGGACAAGGAGATGCCCTATTCTGCATCGTTCAGTTCTGAAAGTCGGTGGCTGGTGGCTGGAACTGCCTAGGAGGGAAATGGAGATGTCATTATCTGCTCAGCCAGTTGGTTCTGCTGATTCCTGAAGGCCAAACCCACGGCTGTCTTGATCTTGGTAGCAGCACGTGTTTAGGAGACTTGGAGATAAGCGGGAAGGGCAGCATCATGGGTGACTGCTAAGTGATATCAGGAGCCATTTTCCAGGGTCAGAGTGAAAGATTTTCTTCTGTTAGGCAGCCAGGTTCCCCTGGAGAAGCAGAGGGTCTAGACTGGACAGAGCCGTCATTGGTGGTTAGGATAATGGCTTCTGCTTCCAGTCCTGCAAGTGACTTGCTAAGAAACCTTGGATGGATTTCTTTAGGTGCCAAGTCAAAGTCAGGAATGGTTTGAGATCATCTGACGAGACGTAGCACGAAAGTCCACTTATCTGCTTTTAATAAACTTCCCTGAGCAGGGAAAGTGGTTAGAAACAAGCCCCTGGTGGTCTTGCTTTACATTTCCTAGTTCAGCTTTGTTTATGGAGAGACACTTGCAGGTCTCCTTACAGGCCAGCTCGGCCTCTTCATCCTGTCAGCACCAGAACCCATCTGGAACCCGGGAAGAGGTGGTCCGTTGTCTGTTAGGCACGGGGCCGAGATGCATTGCCCCGAAGGGGTCCAGCTGAAGTGCTCCACGCTGCGTTTGCAGCAGTGAGGGGGAGGAAAAACAGCCCACACACTGGGACTGCCGGTGCCAAGAAGCCAGGGGACGGGACCTTCGCCTACAACTGCCTCTCCCTTGTCTGTGTCATTCTCAGCAATGGGTGACCAGCCGGCAGATGCGCTTCGAAGGTGGCTTTCAGGGCCGCTGCAACAAGCTGGTGGATGGCTGCTACTCCTTCTGGCAGGCGGGGCTCCTGCCCTTGCTGCACCGCGCACTGCATGCTCAAGGTGAGCCCGGGGGGCAGGGGGGTGGCTGGCGGGGGCCTGGCCATGTCCCGCGGCTGCTCACCAAGTCAGGAAGCCAGAGTGCTTTTTTAGGGGGGCAGAAATGAGCTCTGTCTGTCCTGGATTTCGAGTGCCCGGTGTGGAACCTCCTGCCTTGGGCATGCATGCGCAGACCAGGATTTAACTCCAGTGGTTCAGTTGCGTTACGGGTACTGCTTCAAACTGGCTGTGGCCGGCAGGAGGTGGGTGCGCGTCCTGGGCCCCGGGGTGACTGTCGCCTTAGCTGGGTGTGAAGCCACAGTTTCCAGTGCAGAGTTCCGTACCAGTCATATCAGAACTGAGAACCCGCACTCTGCACGTCACGGTCACAATAGTGACCACAGAGGCACTTTCAGAAAGGGGCAGAGAAACAGAACCCATGCGGAAAAGATCCACCATGTCTGACAGACTTTGTAGTTGCCGCCATTAGAAATGCCGCCATTAGAAATGTAGTTGCCACCATTAGAAACATCTTAAGTTCATTGGAGAGTCCTAAATGCAAGTTTGTTCCCCCCCTACGCCTGGAGTGGAGAGACCTGTGTTCATTTCTGTGGAGTCTCAAATGGGAATTCCAAACCAAAGCACTTAGAGAGCAAGCAAAACTTCTGGAAGCCTTCCTTTGTTATCTCGTGAAATCTCAGGTTGCCTGCGGACTCCCAAATCATCCTAATTTATTTTATGTGAGAGCAGGGTGTCCCTGAGGAAACCAGTGGAAGAGGGGGAGTCATGGCTGCCCCCCTGGGTCCTGATCTGTTCTTGGAGTGAGATCCCTTGGCCCAGCGGGAAGGTTTTCTTTGGACTTAGTAGTTGGGTAATTACTTGCTCAAATGTGGAAGATGAGATTCCTCCCTACTGCCTTGCCATCCCCCCGTGCCTTTTCTTCTTCTTTGGTTGTTCTTTCTGAGCCCCTTCTCTTTGGTTTCTTCATTTCATGTGAGTTGTGGCCACTTTGGATACGGACTCGAAGTAAACAGAGCCTCTGCCTATCTTCCCATTCTCCCAGTTGTAGTCTGTCCTGAGATTCCTTGCCTGGGGCTCCAGGGCTTTCGGTTTCAGGGCGTTAAGATATATCATTCCCCTGACTCTGGAGCCTGCACTGTCTCTGGCTTGACCATTGTAATAGAGAAGTCAAGAACTCCCCAAGAGTCCAATGTTTTCAAAGCAAAAATAGCTTGGGGTTTTAGTGATTTCTTTATCTGGAACTGGTGAGGTGAAGCCCCTGGTAAAACGGTCAGCCTTTCACAAGCCTGCCCCTGGGGGCGATGCGATGCAGTGCTGGTGCAGTCGCCAGGAGCATCCCGGAGAGAGCTGTTACAGGAGCGGCACCTGCCAGTGTCTCCGGTGGGGGGTGGGACGACGGGGGGCTGACATTTTGTTTATTGTAGCACACGCTCTGGAGGCCTAATCGCATGCAAAGCTTTGCCTGTGGAAAAGGTTGCCTGTGAATCTTGGGCCTTGCAGCTTTTTTCAGTGCTTGGGAGAAGCCCTGGGTTGGGCTTGAAGCTCACCCACCTCTCAGCAACAGTGATAAAGGAAAAAGGGAAATGTCTTAAGCAGTGGGCATAATACTGACATTGGGAGTCAAAAGGAGACGATGTGTAGAAAGATACTCATAATATACTACGATCAAAGGTTTCAAAGCAGTATGTATATAATTCCATTTTTTTAAAGAGAGAGAGAGAGTGCAAGCATTGGGGGCAGGGCAGAGGGAGAAGGAGAGAGAATCTTAAGCAGGTTCCACGCACAGCGAGGAGCCTGCCAGTGCTCGATCTCACAACCCTGAAATGGTGACCTGAGCCGCAATCAAGAGTCTGATGCTTAGCTGACTGAGCCAGCCAGGTGCCCCTATAATTCCATTTTTTAGTGAAGAGTTGACTCCAAAAAATTACTAGAAGGTATCTGGGTTGTGAAATGACAGGTGATATTTGTTTTCTTTCATGTTATTTGTATCTTCTGATTTTCTACAATTAATTTGTATTTCTTGCATAAAGAAAAACAAATGTTATTTTACAAAAGAAGAGAAATTCTATAAACAAAACAAGTAGCAAGGTGGGAAAATTATTTGTGACAAATGACAAAGGGCTAATTTCTTTAATTTGAGAGATTCCTACAAATCACTAAGAAATAGCTAAACAACCCCTCTGAAACCCAGGCAGAGGATCTGAACGGGGAGATTCCGAACAGGCAGGGAAAGAACTCCTGGTGGTGTTACTTCTGCTACCACTGCCCCTCCTCCTGGGCGCTCAGCGTCAGCCTGGGACTCAGCAGAGTCCTTCATTCGTATTTTCTCATTTGAGCCTCAGAACAATGTCATGAAACAGGTACTCTTGTTACCCCCATTTTATAGATGAGGAAACGAAGAACAGCAAGGCTCAGTGACCTGCTCTATGATACCCGATCGCCACCTATGCCGGTGTAACCTCCGCAGATGGCATAAATGGAACAAAAAGATGACAGTGAAAGACATGCAAATAAAATCAGTGGGACACTGGTCGTTTTTTACTGTCAGATTGCCAGAGATGAGGAAACGTGCCCAACGTTGGGAAGAGTGTGGGAAAACAGGCACTCTTGTACTGTCAGTGTGGGTGTAAACAGCTGTTTTGGTTTTCGGAGGGTAGTTTGGAGACTTGTTTAAATTACTTAAACCAGGCTAGTGCACGGTCAGGGGAATTTACCTGCAGAGATATTAGCAAAGGATGTGTATTGAGGTGGAGTTTAATGGTGAACAACCGAACTGCTCATGGAAAGGTTAATACGGGTTAAGTGGTTAAGCATCTGCCTTTGGCTCAGGTCATGATCTTGGGTCCTGGGATCAAGCCCCGCATCGGGCTCCCCGCTCAGTGGGGGGTGTGCTTCTCCCTCTCCCTCTGCCCCTCCTCACCACTCGTGCTCTGTCTCTCAAATAAACAAATAAAATCTTTAAAAAAAAAAGGTTAATAGTTAAATATATTACAATTTCTCCATACCATGGTTACATGCAGTGGGCTACTATGGAAAACTCTCCGGAACCCAACATAAAGTGTAAAAAGTGTGGTCTGTGTGCACACAGGCTGACAGCCCCACAGCTTTTCCTGGAAGCGAGCAAAACCCCTTTAACAATGGGCACTTTGGCAGAAGGATGGGAGTTGAAGGGAGGGAGACATATATTGAATTTTTTTTTCCTTCTGGACCATACTCTGCTTTTTTCTTAACCGTGTGCATTCCTACTTTTATCTCAGTAAGCGACCCAATACACTTTTTTAAAGGCGATGATCCTATTACTAAAGAGATAACAAGGGGCCGACCCCTGGCGGCACACACACCCAGTAGGACCTCACCGGCCACCTCCACACAGGTCGCTGGTGTGTGGGTGTAGAACACAGTGGTTGAAGAGAAGAACAAATTACTAAGATTTTTAAACTATAAAATGCTGACTAAATGAGAGAGTTCTTTGGTTTCCTTGGAGCCGTAGGAAAGCAGCAGGCCTGTGAGCGTGTGTTTGGATTGGCGGTTACTGGAGGCTCGAGTGCTCGGAGGCATATTGCAGGCCTGTTTTTGTCCACCGACGTTGAGCTACATGTCACTGTACCTGTCCGTTACTGTTTGGGAACACTTTTCTAAGAGAATCTTTTGAGATGCAAAATGACATGATGGGGATTTGTAAGGTGAGGGAGAGGCATGAAGGATTTAGAAGGCTGATCCCAGGGCCGTCAGCAGCACCCTGTAATCCCGTCTACCTTCATCTGTGATTTGTGTGGTGCTGCGCAAATTCCAAGATCCCTGGAAGCTCCTTGTTGGGTTTGTGAACTTTGAGCTTGCAGACTTCCGTAATACAGCACGTCACTGACCCACTCTGTAATCTGTCTAATAGTAAACGTAGCCGTTGCTTTTCACATTCCGATTTTAGTGATAGGTGAGCACTTACCTTAAAATAATAGTCTTTTATTTCTTTTTTTTTTTTTTTTAAAGATTTTATTTGACAGAGGGAGACACAGCGAGAGAGGGAACACAAGCAGGGGGAGTGGGAGAGGGAGAAGCCGGCTTCCCGCAGAGCAGGGAGCCTGATGCGGGGCTAGATCCCAGGACCCTGGGACCAGACCTGAGCCGAAGGCAGACGCTTAACGACTGAGCCACCCAGGCGCCCCATAGTCTTTTATTTCTTATAAGATATAGAATAAAGGTATATTTTGTACAGATGTTTAATGCAGTTTAAGACATTTGCTTTTAAAAAAAAAAAAACAGCTTCCTTGAGATATAATTCACATAACCATACAATTCACTTATTTAAAATATACAATTCAGTGGTTTTTAGTGTGATCACAGATTTGTGCAACCATGACCATAATCAATTTTAGAATTTTCATCACCTCCCCAAAGTCTTTGTACCTATTAAATAGGCTTCTTTAAAGAAGAAATCACAAAGGATTGATTGATTACAGCAGAGAAAAATGTATGCCTGTAGTGTTAAATGGAAAACACAAAATACAAAATTATAATAACTATATAGAAAAATGCATAGAAACGAAAAAAGACTGGAAAAAGAAAAATTAGCTTTTAATTGCTATTTACAAATTGTTTGCTATCTTTGTAGTAGCCCAGGGATCAAAGTATAAAATTAACCAAGGACTGAATGCACGTGTGTAGTTTTTTGTTTTTAAATTCTTTTTTTTTTTTTTTTAAAGATTTTATTTATTTATTTGACAGAGAGAGACAGCGAGAGCAGGAACACAAGCAGGGGGAATGGGAGAGGGAGAAGCAGGCTTCCCGCTGAGCAGGGAGCCCGATGCGGGGCTCGATCCCAGGACCCTGGGACCATGACCTGAGCCAAAGGCAGACGCTTAACAACTGAGCCACCCAGACGCCCTCATGTGTGTAGTTTTTAAAAACCAGTTCCCATGTAAGTGCTTCTGCAAACATCCATCTGTTGGCAGTCTGTCTCTCCTCCCCACTTGATAACTGTACAGTACACAGAATTCTCTGACCATACGGATTCAGCTTCAGAGTGTAGAAGCCCAGTTGCTTGTCCCTACTTTAGTATTATTACCGGAATTGCCAGTTTCTGCTGCTACCATATTAGATGACGCAAGAATCCTGGCAGTTACTAGTAATGCTTCTTAGGAAAAGTTTTTGAGCCAAGAGAAAAGTTGGAGGACGCCCTTTGGAGATAGATTAAGTTCAGGCTTAGAAAACAGAAGGAACAGACATCACTCCTGCTGCGAGTTCCCTTAGCCAATTGGAGTGAGACATATGCTAGACGAAGTGTCTTAGGAAGCCCAGAGCAGTATAGGGCGCCTGGCTGGCGCAGTTGGTTAAGTGTCCGACTCTTGGTTTTGGCTCAGGTCATGATCTCAGGGTTGTGGGATTGAGCCCCGTGTCGGGCTCCAAGCTCAGCACGGAGTCTGCTTGGGACTTTCTCTCCCTCTCCCTCTGCCCCTTTCCCGCCCCTCAAATAAAGAAAATCTTAAAAAAAAAAAAAAAAGAGGAGTAGGGACTTGTGGACTGAGTCAGGGGTAGTAACAGGGTCGATCTGGAAGGCAGAGCTACCCAGCCACCTTCAGGGATGTGGTTTCAGATGGGCACCCACTCTGCACTGCTGCTCTGACTCGAGTCGAAGGTCAGGAGAGGGACACATCATGGGACTTGAGTGAAGGTGTTAAGTGTCCTGAGAATGTAATTTTCAAAATTAGTCCAGGAAGAATAGAGGGAAACCTTAACTGTCCCTAGTGGGTAATAAGATATAAAGACATCATTGATACCGTGTTGGCTGTTTCCCTGGCGTGGGCCCACCCTGATCCTCTGCCTTCCTGCAGGCGACCCTGCTCTCAGCATGAGCCACTGGATGTTTCATCAGCAGGCCCTACAGGAGTACATCCTTATGTGCTGCCAGTGCCCCGCTGGGGGGCTTCTGGATAAACCTGGCAAGTGAGTGCCTTCTCTCGGGGGAGGGAGGGACAGGGAAGGGAGAGAGGGTGGGCCACTCAGGCCTACCTCTGCAGAGGTGTGTGGGGGTGGTGGTGGGGGGTCCCTTTCTATCCAGCTGCTTAGTACTAGGGTGAAGCACCCCCATGGGGGCACCCCTTCTAGTACCATCCTGGCACCCCCGAGCTTACATGCACTCCCCTCTCTAGGTAGGTATACAGATTGCCGGGGTGTAGCTTTTCTTTCCTCCTTTTTTTTTTTTTTTTTAAATTAAACTGATCTAAATAGAATAGGATACAGGATTTTAAAACGCTTGAGTGTCATAAACAGAAATTACAGTCACAGCTATTGCCACGTAGATTAAATATTTTTAGGTGCCACAGTCAAAGAAAAGGGACATCAGATAAATCCTGTCCCCCTCGCTATTGGGCATGCGCACACCCTGCCCCTGTCGACATCCAGGGGAGTGCCCAGCTCAAGGCTGGTCCCCAGCAGTTGATCAGGAAGAATTTGACCCATTTCTAAGCATTTTGGTAGTCTTTTGGAGAAGTATACTAATTTAGCACCAGCACCACCCTGGAGAGCCCTTTCCAGAAGACAGCTGGAGGGCCCCTGGAGGGGCCGACTCCACAATGCCAGTTCCCTCTGTGGGGCAGGACGGAAGGATGGGGCTTTGAGAAATGCTGCCGGGTGGCAGTGGGACGTGGGGGTGCATCCTGGGCCCGGATCTCTTGTTGGAGGCTGTGCCTGTGAGGATTTGTGGGGAGCGGAGGAGCCCCTGCTCAGAGCCACCTTGTCCGTGCAGGTCTCGGGACTTCTACCACACCTGCTACTGCCTGAGTGGCCTGTCCATAGCCCAGCACTTCGGCAGTGGGGCCATGGTGCACGATGTGGTCCTGGGTGTGCCGGAAAATGCTCTGGTAAGACGGGATGGGGGGCTTGACACCCCTTCTCCACAGGGTCCCCAGGACTGCGCGCAGGCCCGTGAGCGCGCCGCCCCCCTGTCCTGGATCTGCAGCCTTCTGGGAGGAGCTGGTGACTGACGAGGGAACTGCCTCAAGGCAAACTCAGGGTTCCAGGTGGGGGGATCCATCTGTGACGGAAGTTCTGTGCCTTTACCCCCTACCTCAGGACCCAGACCTCTTGCCATTAGTTCGTCCGGGGCAGCGTACTCAGAGGCAGTACGTTTCTGGAATCTGCAGTCACGCAGCCCCCACCGCATGTCTGTGGGAGCCCTCAGCTGGCGTAGCGGCTCTCCAGAGGAGCTTCTGTGAGGTCCCCCCAAAATGCGCCACCATGGCGCCCTGTGTGTGCCCTCCCTAGCACTCAGCGCAGTTTGTAATGTGTGTGTTTAACTTGTTTTTGTCTGCTGCCCCCCAAAACTGTCAGCCCTGCGAGGGCAGCGTGTTCAGCCCGCCTCCAGCCCTAGAGCAGCCCAGCCGCAGGAAACACCCCTGAGCCCAGACGTGAGCCTGGGACATGAATCCATCCAACGCTGTCCGCAGCCAACAAATAATGGGGCCCGTGCAGACTGTCACGAAATAGTTCCAATAGAAGAACACAGATGGCCAGTAGATGGATGAAAAGATGCTCAGCCTCACTGATAAGCAGGGAAAATCGGAGTAACCACCACTCAGCTTTTTCAAGTCTTAACATTTTTCCATATTTGCCTCCCATGCAACCCTTCTCCCTGTCTCGCTCCCCCTGTCCCCAGCATCACCTTGTCCTAAGTCTGACACTCGCCATGGCTGCAGGTGTCTTTGTGCTGTCACTGTGTGTGTGTCCGTCAGCAACACAGACAGGGTAGGCTCTCATGCCTGTTAGAGCACGATCCACCGTGTGTTCCTTTTCTTGCTGACCGTGTACTTCTGACATTTATCTGCGTTCATGTGTTGCTCTGGTTTACCCATTTTAACAACTATACGGCATTCCCATGTGTACGTGTACCCCAAATTCTCGGTTAACATCGAGATGGTTTTGGTTAGTGCTGTTGCAGACAGACTTGTAGTGTCCTTTGTGTTAGTTTGTCTAGGAGAGACTCGCTGGGTTGAAGAGAAACACTTGATCTTCACTAGACAGCGCCTACCCATCCCCCACGTGGTTGTGTTATTTGACGCTCACGCAGTACTCAGGGTGCTGCTCCGTAGTCCGACCTTTCCTTTCTGCCATTTGATACATGGGAAGTGGTACCTCAGTTTTATTTTTGCATTTCCCTGATTACTAGTAAGCTTGAGCATCTTTTCAGAAGCTCATTGACCATTTGTGTTACAGCTTCCGTGAATTGGCTGCCATCTGCTTGCTTTCTTGCTGATTTGTAATTTTAATTGTTTGCCCTTTTCTTGTACATTTGTTGGAGTTCTCTGTGTGTTCTTGATAGTAATCCTGTGTCGGTGGTGTGTGTGTAGTGAATCTCTTCCAGTTCGTGACTTGTCTTTTCACTTTTCATGGATTTTTTTTTTGTTGTTGAATAGGAGATTTTAAATTTTATAGTGAATAATTTTACTGCCTTTTTGGTTTTTGAGGGTGTGGAGGGGTACTTAAGAAATCTTTTCTTACCCTGAGGTCATACATATATTTTCTTCCCAACAGTTTAAAGTTTTGCTCTTCCCATCTGAATTTTTAATTCTCCTGGAATTGATTTTTGTCTGTGGTGAGCGGTGGATATAATTTTATCTTTTTTCCATTTGGATGCCCAATTCACCAGCACCACCACTAATGGAAGTTTACAACTTTCCTTCTGATGTGTGTCCCATGTACGTCACATACTCAAGTTTCTATATCTGAGGTGACTCTGTTCTGTTCCTTTGGTCTGTTCACCTGTCTGCACTATGTTAAGCAAATCTTAAATGCAGGTAGGCAAGTCCCATCCACCTTGATCTTTTTATTCAAAATTGCCTTGCTAGTCTCTGCTTTTTGCTTTTTCCTATGGATTTTAGGATCAGCTTATCAAGTTCCACAAAAAGCTATAATGGAATTTTTATGGGAATTTGCACTGGATTTAAGATTAATGGGAGAGAACTGACTTGTGAGGCTTTCCGTTTGTGAACACAGTTTTTCAGATTATCTTACACGTCCTTCAATGGTCTTTTATCATTTTCTCCACAAAAGACTATCACATCTTTTGTTAGACTTGTACCTAGGAAATTTATAGTTTTTGTGTCTGTTGTGACTGCAATATTTTTTCCATTATATTTTGTAACTGGTTGTTACTAATGTACAGAAATGATATTTATATTTTAATTTTGTATCCAGCCACCTTGCTGAACTTGCTTAATAGTTGCAATAGTTTGTAGAATCTCTTGGATTTTCTCTTTAGAATGTGATGTTATTTTAAAATGAGGACAGTTTTGCCTTTTTCTTTCTGATTCTTTTTTTTTAAGATATTTATTTATTTAGAGAGAGTATAAGTGGGGGAAGGGCAGAAGGTAAGGAAGAGAGAAAATCCTCAAGCAGACCCCGGTGCTCAATCTCATGATCCTGAGATCACAACCTGAGCTGAAACCAAAAGTTGGACACTCAACCAACTGAGCCACTCAGGCACCCCTTTCTTTCTGATTCTTAAGAGTTTTATTTCTTTTCCCTGCCTTGGGATATTGGCTAAGACCTCCATAGAGCGCTGACTGGAGATAGTCGTAGGGGGCGCCCCTTATCTTGCTTCTGGTTGTAATGGGAAGGCGTCTATAATTTCACCATTATGTAGGATCCTTACTGTTTGTTTGTTTAAGATTTTATTTATTTATACGAGTGAGAGAGAGTGCACAAGCAGAGGGAGGGGCAGAGGGAGAGGGAGGGGCAGAGGGAGAGGGAGAAGCAGGCTTCCCGCTGAGCAGGCAGCCTGATGCGGGGCTCCACCTGAGCTGAAGGCAGACTTTAACCGACTGAGCCACCCAGGTGCCCCAGGGGGGGTTTGATAAACACTTCTGATCTGGTTAAGGATGTTACTTGCCCTCTCTTCCTGGTTTGCTAGGTTGTTCTTTTGTGTCAATTATAATCTAATATTTTATTGAGTGCTTTTTCTACACCTGATTTTCCTCCTTTAATCGAATATGCTATTATTTTGTTAATAAATGTTCTGATGTTAACCTTACATTCTCGGGATCAGCCCTTCTTGGTTATAGGACAGTGTGTGTGTGTTTATTTAATACATTGCTAGATTCAGTTTGCTAGTATTTTTTGGCTATTATTTTTATTTAGGATTTTTTGCATGATATTCATAAGAAAAACTGATCTAAAATTTTTGTTTTATTGTATTGCTGTTTCCAGTTTAAATTTCAGGATAATATTTTAGTCTCATAAAATTAGATGGGTATTTTCTCTCCCTGCTGCCCCCCCCCCCCCCCGCCTTTCTTTTTTTAAGTCTTTGAGAACATTTGTACAGGTTAGAGATTATCTGTTTCTTGTAGGTTTGATAGCGCTTGCTTGAGAAGCCCTCTAGGCCTGGTATCCTGGGGCAGGAATGATGGAAGCAGAATAACCAATTGCATTATTGATTTAACTTATTCATGTACATTTTAAAGAACTTCTTGAGTAAATTTTGAAAATTTATATTGCTCTATAGAGTTACTTAGTTTATCTGTACTTTTATATGTTTTGGCATTAAGTCGCTCATAGTATTCTCTCTTAAAAGTTTTAAAACTTAGGGGCACCTGGGTGGCTCAGTCAGCTGAGCGTCCGACTCTTGATTTTGGCTCAGGTCATGATCTCAGGGTCATGAGATCGAGCCCTGTGACAGGGTCTGCACTCAAGGTGGAGTCTGCTTGGGATTCTTTCCCTCTCCCTCCTCGTCCCTCCCGGTTTGCTTGTGCTCTCTAAAATAAATAAATAAAATGTTAAAAAAAAAAAAGTTTTAAAACCTCTCCTGCAATTCTGTCCCCTTCTTCATTCTCCCCAAATGGAAGAGTCGTGAATACTGGCCTCCAGTTGTGCTCTTAGACCAAAAGTTTCTTTTGGGTTTCTGTGATGTAGTGGAATAATAGAAAAGAATTTAAACATGGCCTGATACCTTTACTGCGTCATAAGGTTGTGGTCCTTTTTCCTGATTACAAATGTAAATACATGGTGTTTGTTTTAATAATTGGAATATATATAAAAGTATAATTAAGAAAATTTAAAACAATCCTATCACTGTTCCTGTTTGGGTGTATGTCCAATTTCTGCCTATAAATCACATCTATAAACACATTTTCAAAAAGTTTGGGATAACGTTGTGCATACCATTTTCCTCACTTAATACCTTATAAGCATTTGCCCATATCATTAAATATTTTGAAAGCATGTTTTTAAGTGGCTACATAATATTCCTTTGTGTCCCATGTACTATTAGATGTTTTTACTAATACCTTGTTGGTGGACATCAGGGCTTTGTGGGACGGATCTCCCTGGGTGTCTCTGATGAGTCCTTCTTCTGCTAAATTCTTACAGGTGCATTTAACTGCTTCAAGGCTGTGCACATTCCCAAGGACCACCGGGGCGATTAACTGGCATCTGCCCTTCTCTTTGCAGCACCCCACTCACCCTGTGTACAATATTGGACCAGATAAGGTGATCCAGGCCACCATGCACTTTCTGCAGAAGCCAGTCCCAGGCTTTGAAGAGCACGAGGCTGAGGCACCAGCAGAGACCGCCAGCACCTAGAAGACAAGGGTCCGTGGCTCTGTGCTCACCCACCTCCCCGGTCAGACCAAGGTGTATACATTTCGATACCTACTGCACTCTGTGCTGCACAAGCCTTGGCCACTATGGAGCTGTGGTCCTTTGTCCTTTCTTGTCAAACAAAACAAAACTGATGTCTCTGGGTTTGGAGAACATAGTGGCGTGGTTTTTTAAAAATTCTTTCCACTTCTGTCAAACCAAAAATCTGTCAGCCCGCGCGGCACCTGAACCCAGCTCTGGCCCGGCCAGGGTTGCTGGGGAACAGTGCATGCCGGGCAGAAGCAGCCCCTCGCCACCAGCTCTCCGGCCCGGGCAGTCGTATTGAAATGAGTGGTGTCTATAAGTTACTGCTGCGACTCCCGCTTGCACGCCACCCTCAAGTCGCCAGGAAGGTGCCCTCCCATGGGTGGAAATAAGTCTGCTCTGTGCCAAGGGGGAGGGGGGGGCTTTGGTCCCATCAAAATGAATTCTCTAGAAAAAATCATGGTGGGACTTCACTAGGAGATGCCCAAGGCTGTCACCTCCCGCCACGGTCATTTGCAAGGGAAAGGAGCGGGGGGAGGGGGAGAAAGGTCTTGGGTTGTGAGCTCCTCCCCCTCCGCATCCGAGAACTGAGCCACACCTCTCCCCAGGGCCCAGATGGGTGGGCGGGCAGAGTTGCTTCAGCCACCCGGTGTGCTGACTTCGACCCAGGAAGCCAATTATGAGTGACAAATGAACCTCCAGTTCTGCGCCCGAGGAAGCAGCCCCAGTGCCCACCCCTCCCCGACCCCATCATGTACCGTGAAAAACCCCTCTCGTGTCTGCAAGGCAGCACGGGCGGCCTGTGGCCATTCTGCGTGTTTCCACCTCCCGTCGGACTCCTGGCCCCCTCAAAAGTAGTGTTGTCTTCTCTCATCCCAAGTATTAACGCTACTAAGTCTTTCACCTTAATTTGACTCAGGATTTATTCACGTCCTGCCCACTCTAGGCTCAGAAATAAAATCAAGTGCTAGATAGGCTGGGGGCCGCCCAGTGTGCTCAGCCTGTCGGGGCCTCAGCTGCACGCAGGGACCCCTTTTTGGTCAGTGGGGGGTTGAGTCGGGCCACCTGTCCGCGTGGCTGACCTGGCCTTCACGTAAGCAGCCGACAGGAGCGCAGAGATGCAGCAGAGGCGCTTCTCCAAAACTGCCCTTCGCAGCCTCTAATTCCCTATTGCTTTGGTGGATGGGGCTATGTATTACCTCCTTGAAATAAAAAAGAATAACATTTTCTATGATGTCTCTCATTTGTGATTGGTACCGAGAAAATTCCCTCCGGATGTCCAGTGTTTGGCGTTATTGAATATTGTTCCCGGATCGCCAGTCTCCTGCGTGCAAGGTTCCGGACCCTGTGCGTTAGCAGTTACAGGGCTCTGGCTTGGGCCCCACCTTCAGACACCCGCTCCAGCCGAGGCCACAGTGAGCCTACCAGTGGGAGAAGCTGTTTCTCCCCAGCTCCCCAGAGCAATTCGGTTGACTCCCCAGCAGTCTACACCGTGTCTCATGGTCCGTCTGTGTGTCTGTCTCCTCCATCTGACGCTGAGCAGGGACTGTGCTCCTGAGTCCTAAGGCAAGCATTCAGCAACAGGTGGGGGCAGTCATCCTGACCAGAGGCAGGGGGCTGTCACCAGAACAGGAACAGGCCAGAATCCTGCAGCCACCTGGCTTTCATTGAGGGATGAGAAGAGAGTGTCGTCCTTTGGGAATATAATCCCTGCCCCTGTGCTCCCAGTGCCCTGACAACAAAGCTTGGGCTATAGAGCAGCATGGTCAGAGGCATCCTTGCCGTCACTGTAACAAAAGGTCAAGCCCTCGCACACCGGGAGCCTCCCACGGTGGTAGGGGATGGGTTGCAGTAGTGGGTGTGGTTAAGAGACAGAAGGGATTGCTCTGGTATGAGTTGGCTTTATTACACCCCAGCCGCAGGGTTTGAGCCGGCCCCAGGGGTAGGTGAAGTGTGCCTCCGTAGAGGAGAGAGGGTCCTTCGCTGGCATTCTTATCTCAGGGCTTTCCACTGGTATAATCGTGAGACTCCCTTCCTGCTCCCAGTTGGGTCTGGAGGATTTCCTGATTTTACAGCATTCAAGTGAGTGCTAGAGATGAATTCTCAGATTTATCATGTGGATCCTTAAGTAGAAGGCATTTATGTAGCATTTAAGGTGGGTTACCCCAAATATTTCCCCATCAATAAAGAAATACAAAACTACCACAGATCTCTATATCCAGATGGGCTCCGGCTTCCCCCTTGGATCCATTTCAGATCCACCTTGAGCCCCATATAAGTTGGGCTACCTGCAGGAGAGTTCCTAGTAGCTTCAGCATCCCAACTCCAAGGGAAGGGTCATGGTCTGGGACAGGGAAGTAAATGTTCTTTATGTCTGCAGGCTATCCTAGGCTCTCTGTGGCCAGGACTACTAAAATACAAATGCTGCAGAGACCAAATATTAACAAAGATGTAGGATGTCTCTCATTCTCTGGGCTAAGTTCAGTTCAATGGAAGTTTGCTTTCCTAATACTGATAATCAGACCTGAGGTAAATGATACAGAGGTCTATCATGGAGGGTTACTCACTGTTGCTTCCAGTTGGGGACACAGGTATTCAGTTGAGGGGGAAGTATCAAAGTCCTTACCTGCTGCCTGAAGGACACTGACCCCCCTCTTGCCACATCCACCCAAAGAATAACCACTAAGAGAGTTCTTCCTGACCTACTGCCTTGTCTCATTTGATCCTTGACTCAGCCTCATGAGGCGGGTGAGGCAGGTGTATTATCTGCATCTTACAGCTGTAGAAACAGGGCAGAGAGCTTCAGTGAATCACCCACGTTTCCGAGCTCTTGAGTGGTGGAGTCTGAACCTGACCCCAGATCCGCTGCCTCCAAGCCCATGTGTTCCCATCCACCCAGGTGTCTAAAGGAAGGTGAGATGGGTGATCTCAGGAATGGGGGCAGGACCTAAACACGCATGGGTTACCTCCAGGGCTGGACAGCTGAGACCGCAAATGCTTGTCCCCATCTTTTACCAGGACAAGGACGGTGACAGCCAACAGCAGGTGCAGGCTCACCTCTCCCCTCTAAGCCACCTCCCACTCTGCCAAGTCCTCAGCGTAGAGCGACGCTCCCCGCCCCAAATGGGTGCCACCCCAAGTGTGGAGTGTGACACCGCGTGACTCCCAAGCAAGGTCATGGTGAGTCAGTCTTTCTCGGAGCAGATCATGGCCCCGAAAACAGCCCGCCCTCCGCAGCCTGGCCCGGCCTGCCTAGCTGGTTCCTGGACACCCTCTTTCACTTCCCGGCAATAACCTCGCCTCTGCTTTCCACCAACTGGTGCAGGAGGGGCCAGAGAACGGGGCCAGGTGCCGGATGCCTCCCTCCCACTTCTTGGGCACATCCAAGAACCAGGCAGGCGGTGCCAGCCCAGCTTAGTGGAAAACTTGCCCTGCCCCTCCTGCATAAACATGACTCCGGCAAAATAACAATAGGAACACATTTTAAAAAACAACCTTTTTATTTTAGGACAGTTTTGGATTGACCAAAAAATGGCCAGGATCGTAGACAGAGTTCCCATAGGCCCCTTAAGCCAGTTTCCCTAGTGTAAGCATCTTACATTGGGATGGAACCTTTGTCACAACGAATGAACTGATATCGACACATTACTACTAACTAAAGGCCATAGTTCAGTTAAATAACTTAGTTTTGACCTAATGCCCCTTTTCCGTTCCGGGACCCCATCCAGGATACCTCATTACATTCAGGCGTCAAGTCGCTCCTTAGGCTGCTCTTGGCTGTGACAGTTTCTCTTAGACTTTGCTTGTTTTGAGTGACCTTGACAGTTTTGAGGAGCACCGGTCAGATATTTTGTAGTGTCCCTCAATTGGGATTTGTGTGGAAACCATTAGACTGGGGCTGTGGGTTTTGGAAGGCAGGCCCCAGAGGCCAAGCACCCTGTCTTCACATCCTCTCAAGGGGCCGTGTGTCCACATGGCTTATCCCTGGGGCCGTTAACCTTGGTCACCTGGCTGAACAGTGTGTGTTTGGTTACCCACCCCACTGTGAGATTCCTTTCTTCCCCTTTCCAGACTGTCTGTCCCCCTTAGTAGGAAGTCCATGTGCACGGTCCACACCGCGGGAATGGAGAGTTATGCCCCACATCCTTAAAGGTGGAGTATCTACATAAATTATTTGGAATTTTTCTGTGGGAGGTTTGTCTTTTCTCCATTTATTTATTCAATCATGTTTATATCGGTATGGACTCACGAGTATTGATTCTATACTTTGGGTTATGTTCCATACTATGTTGCTCAGATTGTTCTGGCTTTGGCCATTAACTCTTCCAGTTGGTTCCTATGTCCCTTTGACATCGCCACACTTCCTTACTTAGAAAATAATAAAAAAATAATAATCATGCATTTTGTCATCCCTTTTCTTTCAAGAAGTATGGCATGTTGATAATCGTTGACACTGGATAATGGGTACATTAGGGTTCAGTACACTACTCTCTCAATCATTCATAACATTCAGTTCTTTCCAGAATAAAAAGTACTGCATGCCAGTGATCTTGGATGTGAGACTTCATGTTGTCCTCTGCTGTACCTGTGATGGCCTGGGCAGATGGGACAAAGGTGGTGACAGGAGCTGAGGACGTCGGCTCCCAAGTCAGAGAAGGCTAAATGTCACAGCCTTGTCGAGGGCAGGGCCAGGGGACCCTGGGACTGCAGGGGGCTCTGTCCCCCAGGCAGGCTGACCAGTGCCTGGCCGGATAGCGGTGAGGGTCTGGCAAGGGGCAACTCTGGAGGGGGATGACAATACCAAGGAGAGCTATGCTGCACTCCCAGGAGGGCTGATCCAGTCCCTCCCCTCTCTCTTGGGAGCAGTGGCTGCCTCAGCCTGCCTGGATACCAAGGCAGCCAGTGACTCTGGTGGAATGGGCAGTGGAGGCTCTGGCCCACCTTCCCTTCACCCAAAGCCTCCACTGGGCGCTTGTGGAGAGGGAGGAAGGTGAGCACACCAGAGCTTGGAAAGCGAGGGCCTGGCCCTGTTCCTTGCCCCTCCGCATGCCAAGTCCGTCTTGTGGAGGGCCGGGCTTCAGAATTCCTTTGACTTCTGGAGTGAAGACGTGCACCTCTGGGCTGTGTGCTCAAGTCTGGTCTCTGCCTCCTCTGCGCTTCCTCACCTGCCCTGAATCTCCCCAGCGCCTGCCATAGT